CTCTCTGCGTCCCTGCTCATGGTCCTTGCTCAGTGGTCTCCCTGTTTCTCTTTCCTGGAGCCATAACCACTCCAGTCCCAGTCCACCGCCAGCTTTCCAGCTCAGGGACAGCAGCTTGTGAGAGAGGCGGGCTGAACAGATAAACACACAGAGGCCCCGTGTGGGGACCCAAGCCGCTGCTCTACAGATTCAGAGCCCTGCTTCTCCATCCTGGCTGCATACTGGAATCTTGTGCAGCTTAAAATAACAAAAAACAAAAAACAAAAAACCCCAAACCCCTGCCCTGCCCAGCGCCCTCCTTCCACTGCCATCTGCCAGGCCTGGCATGTTTTAGAGCTCCCCGAGTGAGTTGAATGCGCATCCTGGATGGAGAAGCACAAATAGGAAAACCCACTCCTTCCGCCTTTGCACTCATCAAACATCTACATCACAGAGGGGGACAAGTGGAAATGGAAGGGCTTTCTGCAAAAGAAAAGTCTAAAGCCAGAACGGTTTCCTCTGCCACTGTAAGGACACCCGGTGAGAGACATGCTGCTGGAAGAACCACTTTGTCCACGGAGACCGCAATGGGAAACGAGAAGAAGGAGGTGGTAAACTGGAAGGATTCCTGAGGCTGAAGAGGGAGAAGGTCAAGGAGCTCTCTATGAAATTACCATGTAGTCAGCTGAATAATATCACTGCCTATTGGCAAAAATGTGAGATGCTCCCCCTTCTAGAGAGCAAATAGGAATTTGTTTTCTCCTCCAGGTAATTTTCTCCTTGGCAGGAAAGCCGCTTTGGTTGGCAGGGGGCTGCCTGGCGTGAGAGCAGGTGAAGAGGTGTGAATGACCTGCCAGCGGGGCGGAGGGGGCGGGGCGGGGAGACACGAACCTGGCATCAGGCTCCGCCCAGACTTTTGCTCCTCCCCATTTCTGGATTCCCTGGAAGGTAAGCTAAGAATGCAGCCTGACTCAAGACAAAGGATGGCCAATCCCAACCAGACTTTCCAACAGAAGCAGGAAGCCAAAGCGAGAGGAGTCTGGAAGGCAGGTCACATGAGATGGTAAGATCCAGAAGGGCAGGACCACACCTGTCCCGGGCACAGAGGAAGTGCTGGTGCTTATCTGGTGAATCCACAGACCAGTGCATTTCCCCACAGGTGCTATTTTCAGTCCCTCTATATTTTGTGGCAAACCCTTAAATGTATAAAAGGTGCATATATGGGCTCGTTTTGTTGTTTTTTGTTTTGTTTGGGGGTTATTTGTTTCTTTTGTTTGTTTGTTTGTTTTTTTGTCAGAGCCACAACCAGTTAGAAGAATTAGTGATGGGAGGGAGGTAACCAATCCCGGACATTCACCACAAAAGGAGATGTAGTTTGCTAGAAAGATCTAGCCTGCGGGTGTCTGGTCCCACACGTCACATAAGACACTATGCTTCAAACTCGACCCCATAAAAGGTATACCAACCCCTCACTGAGAAGGGCCCATCCTGCACACTGAAAGTCAAGGCCTTATTGGGCCAATGACTGCGAAACGGAGGTCGGCTGGTTTTCATTCATTGTATTATTATTAAGAAACTATGTCCTACTAAAAGTGGAAGGAAATACAGGGGTTAACATTTAAGGATTCCAAGAACCTCAGTAACACCCTTTTTCAGTTTTGAGCTGAAAAAAGCAGCCCATCATTTCAGTAAACAAAGTTTCTTCGTAGACATTATGGCGAAAATGATGCCAGCAGTGGGTGCAGACGGGATCCCCACCTTTGGGAGATGTGACGCTCCACGCACACGAGCTTTCAGACTTCTTGTGCGGGAAGCAAGACCGTCCCTAACGTCTGCCGCACAGAAAGTCTGCCTTTATTTCTAGGTCAAGTTTGTCCCAATATCTGGATCGTGGAAGGTCACAGATAAAAATGAACTTCTCGGGCGCCTGGGTGGCTCAGTGGGTTAGGCCGCTGCCTTCGGCTCAGGTCATGATCTCAGGGTCCTGGGATCGAGTCCCGCATCAGGCTCTCTGCTCAGCAGGGAGCCTGCTTCCCTCTATCTCTCTCTCTCTGTCTGCCTCTCCATCTACTTGTGATCTCTCTGTCAAATAAATAAATAAAATCTTTTAAAAAAAAATGAACTTCTCAAGTCAGACGTCATCAATCTGCTAATTGTGCTGCTTATGCAAAGGAATGATAATGCCAAGATCGCACAGCCCAGTAGACAGTAACACAGACTTTCTATAAAGAGCTTCTAGTGCAAGTCCTAAGGAATGTACGTGTGAGGGAGGGCTACCTTCCCAGGGAAGCCGATATTAGAAATGTTTTCTTCATGTGAAATGAAAAGCTGAAATTTGCCTCTTTGCAAGTGCCACTCAGGGCTTGTGGCCTGGCCTTGCCTCGCAATGCTAAACGAGAAAGCAGGGACGCCTGGATGGCTCAGTCAGTTAAGTGGCTGCCTTTGGCTTGGATCATGATCTCAGCATCCTGGGATCGAGTCCCACATCAGGCTGCTCGCTTGGCAGGGAGCCTGCTTCTCCCTCTGCCTCTGCTTGTGCTCTCTCTGACAAATAAATAAATGAAATCTTAAAAAAAATAATAAAATCTCTGGGGAGCCTGGGTGGCTCAGTGGGTTAAAGCTTCTGCCTTCGGCTCAAGTCATGATCCCAGGGTCCTGGGATCAAGCCCCACATCGGGCTCTCTGCTCAGCAGGAAGCCTGCTTCCTCCACTCTCTCTCTCTGCCTGCCTCTCTGCCTACTTGTGATCTCTGTCAAATAAATAAATAAATTCTTTGAAAAAAAAAAAAAAAAAGCATTCTGAGATGTGAACTCAGCTCTCACGCCTCTCCTTGGCCATCTCTTGGCCAAGTCCTTCAGCTGCTCCCTGAATCACTAGAGCTCTCAACTCCTTTCCAACCTGACTCTGCTCTTCCAAATGTGTTTATTGGTCGATGCCCCTTTTCAATGTTTGCAACTTAAAAAAAAAAAGAAAAAAAGAAAAAAATCTCCTCACACCATGGGCTGCGGCAACTGAAAGTGTAAACCATCCTTTTGTGGCGTAAGTTAGCACGGTATGCTGGGAAAACACCTTCCTTCTTATTACTGTTTTAGGTAGTTGTTAAAACTTAGAATAGAAAGTCGCTCTTTTCTTTCTGGTCCCCATGCACTGTGGAAACCCAGCTGGGGGTGGTGCTCAGTCTGATGACGGAGCCACCCTACATTTCAGCCTGCGGTTTCATTCTGGTGACTGTGTCTTCCAGACCCCATCGGCCAGACTTAGAGAAGCTTGTTTGGAAGACAGTGAGTCATAGGTAGAAAAGGCAGGCATGGACAGTGATCTTTATATGCTTCTCTATTTTCATATATTGATTTCCCTTGGCTCCCCTCAAATGGGTTTCTCTGTTTTATTCCAGAAATTAGAAACCAGAGACTCCTAAACCACTTGAAAGTGTCTTTGGAAGAAGGATCTCTGACTTAGGAACCAATCTTCAACCCCAAAACAGAAGCCAAGCGGTACGAGGCTCTAAGATAAAATCTAAGAACAGGGCACACCACCTCACTGTGGTGAGCTAGAAGAAATGCAGGGCTCCACGGTCAAAGGCACATGGGGAAACAGGGACAGCCTTGGCCAGAGTTCCTGTGCGTGAGATTCAGAAGCCGAAAAGCTACTATCTGACAGCCGTCGCCGCCTGAGGTGTTAACTAAGCATAACGAAGCAAGGCTTTTCCTGGGCAAACACGCTCCTGATGCGTAGCCAGTGTTGCTAACTGGGCAGGACCCACCCGCCACTGTGGCTCCTGCCTGGGTGTGCAGTGGGAGTGCAGAGGGTCTCCTTGTTCTTCTGTTCTGCTCTCTGACACTCACAGATGCGCCAGCATAAAACTCACGGGAGTCAGCACGGTATGACTTCATTTCTTATTTAGGCAATGGATTTCACCTAATGTGTATGTTTATCCAACAAGAGAATAATGTATCCCTCCCCAACCTCACAGTCCCCTGACCTTAACCTCGCTCCACTAATATCACCAACATTTTAGAGATTAATAGGCATATTTTAATCCTCTCTTTGTCTGTTACGTGTGTAATTTATCAGTAGGCATGCTTTTAATTTCAATAATTCATTAACAGATAACTTTTCAGAGCAGTGCTTAATATAAGGAAAGTGGTTTTTTTTTTTTCAGTTTTTCCACTGCCAACCAAATGTTTAATTAAATTAGAGCCCTCTCGATGCACAATAGAGAGTTAGACCACAGGGAATTTATAACGTTGTTAGGACTGTTCCTTTTTTTCTATCCGATGTATTAATTGAGCAAGAAAGAGACAAGAATATGTGACTCACTGTACTACAGCGTGGGATTTCTCCTACTGAGCACCACGGGAAAGAGAGACAGATTGTAGTAACACAAGTGAAAGAATTTTTTTTTCCTCTGGTAGAAATATAAATGTTCAACTTACCTGTTTTTTCCATTTAGAAAAACAGACAAGTAAGCTATGTCCGGCACACAGTAAACATGTAACTTGGTCAGATGTCCCACAGACAGACAGAGAGAGAAAGGATGGAGAAGAGAATGAGGGAAGAAGGGAGAGGAGGGAGGAGACAGGGAACAGGGGAAAAGGAGACACCTGTCCACTGAGGAAGGAAAGACGGTGTGGTCCCCGGGAGAGAGGCAGCCAGGTGCAAGGACGTGCAGAGACCTGAGCTAAAGGGAATGTTCCTTATCACACCGGGGGCTCCCCTGAGCTGTAGGCCCGCCCCTGGGGAATCGCAGCCCTCTGAAGTCCAGTGAGCTTATAAAATGCACTTCCAGGCCTTCTTAATTGTGACGATTTGATCTGATTAGAAGGATGATCACCAGTCCCTGGGGATGGGCAGAAGTCGCACATGTGAGGAAATTTCCCTCTGGGCCATGAAGACAGTGGCCTGAGGACCTCCACTCGTGAGCCATGGTGAACTGAGCTGAGACGCAGAGCCAGCTCGAGGGCTGACGGGTCCCCACGACAGGCAGCCGTCCTGGCCCGTGGCCTCTCACAAGGGCTTACCTCCTCAACCATCTGCTTGACTTTCTTCTGCTGACAATGCACCATGTCGTCCAGGTGCCGGATCCGTTCCCGGAGGCTGGCTGACGCCTCCTCCAGCTGCTGATACCTGACACAGGGAGCAGAGTGAGGTGCGGGGCCCTCAACCAGAGCAGCCCCACCAGTGCCGAGGGTCGCGGCGGAAGGGAGCCTCGCCCGGAACAGGAAAGGCTGCTCTGCCACACATGCCTCCTACTCCGTGAGTCTCCCGGGGGGCTCACTACCTGTCAACCACCCACCCCAGGAGGAGTACGGGACTTTTACTCATGTTCCCTCTTGCAAGGTTCACCTTGTATAAGGACAGCAACACTACTTTCCAGGGTCTGAAATGGAATTTGGGGGGCACCACATATAGAATGGGGGGGCTCTCTGTCCGGGGGTTAATATAATACTGTACACTATACATTATACAAGTCAAATGCCTTGATTCGGAAAACAGAGGAGGCGGGAGTCTCTGACTATAACCCGCTATCTGAAATCAAGGGGCCGAGTCCTGGGAAATCTGGAACTCCAGTTGTCTACACACCATTTATTCTGAAAAACTGGGAAACACGGTGAAAGACCTTCTCTGCATCAAAACAAATGGGGCCGCGTCCTAAGACACTTGACATTTTGTCTTAGAACAGCACAAACCACCCTCGGCCTTTGCTCAGTTCGGTGAGACCAAAGGAGCAGCAGACAGACTCTTCAGGGCTTGGGGGCCGCTGGAATGGAGCCTGGGACATGGGGTCTGGTGGTCGGCTTACCCCTCCCCTCTCTGCCAGGCTACGTTAAAGTCTACAGAAGACTGCGAAGCCCGAAGTTGCAGAGAGGAAGGGAAACAGACATTCTGCAGCATGAACCACATGGCAGGCAGTGGGCGCCCCAGCTCCCTCGCAGTTAATGACACCATGAGACCGGCACTCACCGTCACGCCTCCCCTTTAAAAGGAATTCTCACTTTGCAGATAAGTAAGGAATCTTAGCAAAGCTGCAAAGTTAATTAAGCAGCTGGTTCAAACTGCTCAAATCATCCCAACCTCGCTTTCCTTCAGCAGAGGGCGGTGCACAGCCTCTCTGCCTTCTGATTTCCGGGGGAGACCATGCACTACCGCCCCCTCATTTTTGATGCAGATTTTTATATGCCCACAGGCAGGGCACAAGGCCAGGTTTGAGTAAACAATGTCTGGACACACAAAAAAAGGCATTTTAAAATTAGTTTCCATTGCAGTGGTATTTAGTCACAGATGATGTGTGCTCTCATCAACAAGGTGCATCCTGTGGAGTTGAAGGTCATGGAGAACATTTAGAGACTGAACTTTTGCACCCGAGAGAGCCTGCAGGGTGCTTCTCTGCTCTAACAACCAGTCATGGGCTGCAAGATGTGGCTGTGAGCGCCCAGAGAAACTGGCCCCGGGGCAGAAGCTCTGAGCCTGATGTTCAACACGTAAGAGTCTGCAATGGTGATGACCAAGGGAAGGAAAATGCGAGGACCTGCTGAGCCCACGGAAACACAGCACGTCCACCACCCAAGTCCGTTACGCGATAAAGGGCATCCGTCTTACCTTTCCTTGTCAGAGTCCATTATTTCCACTGACATTTCTGTTTCGTGCTCCAGGAGCTGGAGTTGCAGCTGATGACGTTCCTGAAACAGACACCGATATTTGAATCAGTGCACGTAGATCGAGTGATTCCAGCACTCTTGGGGTCAAGTCTACAGAACGCCCCGTGGGGTCTACGCATCCACCCACCAGAGTCCAACCGAAGCTCGAAACTGCCAAAGCTCCTGGTCTGCATTTACAGATGTGTTTATGAATTAGAGACAAATATCCAGGATAAAGCCATTCAAGGTTTCTTTTTATGGGGCAACTGGGTGACTTAGTCGGTTAAGTATCCAACCCTTGGTTTGGGCCTACGTGACGATCTCAAGGTCATGAGATTGAACGCCCCCGTCAGGGCTCCATGCTCAGCTGGGGGTCTGTTTGAGGATTTGCTCTCTGCCTCTGCCTTTCCCCCTGCTTGTGTGCACACTCTCTCTAATAAAAACAAAGAAATCTTTAATAAGTCAATGAATAAGTATCCCATCAACCTAGGTTCAGATATCTTGTGAGAATTTATAGTTCTAGAAAATGAAAATCCATACTCCTCAGCCAGTGGCCTGTGTTATTGCAAAATTCTTGATGAATTTCTGCATCATCAAGAAAAGAATCTCTGGAATTTGGGTAATACCTTATATACTAAGCTGGGTGGTGGTTACAGGTGTAGGTTCACTTGTAAAAGTGTGTTGTGACTGTCAGAATAATGGGTGGCCCCCCAGCGATGGCCACATCCTAAGGCCTGAGACCTGGGCACCTGTGGCCTTACCCAGAAAAAGGAACTTTGCAGATGGGATTAAGTTAAGGGTCTTAACATGGTCAAATGACCCTGGATTATCCAGGGGGCCCTTATTGGCAGGAGGAAGAAGGACTGGAGCCAGGAAGAGACAGAGACTGGAAAATGCTATACTGTTGGCTTTGAAGCTGCCAGCTGGAGCCCAGAGTCAAGGAACGCAGGCAGCCTCTAGAAGTTAGAAAAGCCTAGCAAGGGGCCTGGGTGGTAGTGGGTTGAGCCTCTGCCTTAGGGTCCTGGGATCAAGCCCCGTGTGGGGCTCTCTGCCCAGCTGGGACCCTGCTTCCCCCTCTCTCTCCGCCTGCCTCTCTGCCTACTTGTGATCTCTGTCAAATAAATAAATAAAATCTTCCAAAAAAAAAAAAAAAGCCTAGCAAATGGCCTCTCCTCTAGAGTTTCCAGAAGGAACCCAGCCCTGAGGACACCTTGATTTTAGCACTTCGGATCTCCAGGACCATAGGACAATAAACTGGGGATGTTTTAAGCGACCTACAGTGGTGATTTATTACAGCAGCCATAGGAAACTAGCACATATATCAAGCCGTCCATTAAGATTTGTACCCTTTGATGGGGCACCTGGGTGGCTCAGTGGGTTGAGCCTCTGCCTTCGGCTCAGGTCATGATCTCAGGGTCCTGGGATCGAGTCCCACATTGGGCTCTCTGCTCTGCAGGGAGCCTGCTTCCTCCTCTCTCTCTCTGCTTGCCTCTCTGCCCACTTGTGATCTCTGTCAAATAAATAAAATCTTAAAAAAAAAAAAAAAGATTTGTACCCTTTGCTGTATATATGCAAATTTTAAAGTTTATCCAAAAAGATAATATAAGAATATGGACTATTATTTCCTCGGACAAAGTAGAAAATGTTAATAAAAGTATAGCACCCCATTGGGGAGGGTATGTGCTATGGTGAGTGCTGTGAAGTGTGTAAACCTGGCAATTCACAGACATGTACCCCTGGGGCTAATAATACATTATATGTTAATTAAAAAAAAAAAAAAAGTATAGCACCCAGGGGTACCTGGGTGGCTCAGTCAGCTAAGCGTCTGCCTTCAGCTCAGGTCATGATCCCAGGGTCCTGAGATCGAGTCCCATGCGGGGCTCCCTGCTCAGAGGGGAGTCTGATTCTCCCTCTACCTCTGCCTGCTGCTCTGCCTACTTGTTCTCTCTCTCTCTGCCAAATAAATACATAATAAAACCTTTGGAAAAAAAAAAGTAGCACCTATCATAACCAAAATTGCTCTAGAAATACATTATAGACCTTGGTGTCATAGATTTCCTTCAAATGAAATTTATCAAACCCTGTTCGCTATATCGGGAGATTAATTTACACGAGACCCTCAGTACTCCTGTGCTTCTCATCATTCTCAGAAATTCTCCCAACAAACTCTTCCCGCCAAATTATTGAAAACACGGTCGCTGAAACACTAACTCCCACCACTGCTGAGGCTACAAGCCGCGGTACCCAAGGAACAGGCGGAAGAGATGGAGGAACCGTCCGCTCTCGCAGGAAGAGTATATATTACCACTGATGGATTTAGCCTCATGAGGGATGACCAACTTTCAGTGGGGATCTGTTTTTGTTCTTAAATCTTTCCAACAAAGACACAGCCTTACAGCCCACCTGGGCAGGAGGCTCCCCTGTCCTCGCGTGGTTCGCGGCTGGCTGGAAGACTACAATGGCCCTGAAATAATAGTGATGGACCTTTCAGAGACGAGCACCCCCAGTGGCAGATGCCCCCCAAAACAGCCCTCTAGAGTAGGGAAAGCCCTCACTTCCGGCACACTTTATTTTTTTATTTTATTTTTTTAAAAGATTTTATTTATTTATTTGACAGGCAGAGATGACAAGTAGGCAGAGAGGCAGGCAGAGAGAGAGAAGGAAGCAGGCTCCCCCCTGAGCAGAGAGCCTGATGCGGGGCTTGATCCTAGGACCCTGAGATCATGACCTGAGCCAAAGGCAGAGGCTTTAACCTCCTTAGCCACCCAGGCGCCCCCCGACACACTTTAAAAGTTCGATTTTTTTTCCCTAAATGGAAGTACAACAAAGCTTGAATGCACACTACACAGTAATTTCTTACATTTGTACATGCCTGCAAACACACTGCCCAAGCACAGACTGTCACCTTTTCTGCAGCAGGGTCCCTGAGTGATCACACTCCTTAGGAGATTTTTACTAATCAGGGGGGAAAAAACAGTGTTTCGAAGATCCAAAAATGGGTGCAGGCAGGATACCACACTGCCACCATTCATGCGTGGGGACAGGCTGTCCGCAGAGCAGATGAGAGACAACTGCTCTCTCTCCTACTCTGAAAGAAGGATCTCTGAGGGAGAAGCAGCCATCAGTTGGAACACCTAATCCTAGTGAAATTAAGCAAACCCATCTCTCGCCTAATGGAAAAGAGGATTTAGAGAAAGGACAATACATTTTGATATTTTGATTTGCTACAGAAAAAGCTGACAGAACTTGGGGAACATCCTGTATCCCACAAATGCTGGCAGGGAGGGCTAGCCTTCCCACCTCCCTGGCCTCCCGCCCATCACCTCTCACACAGGCGCTACACGGAAATTAGTGGGGAAAAATCCTACTTTGAGAATCCCAAGGGTACAAAGAAGATAAGCTCTTTGAAAAAAAAAAAAAAAAAAAAAAGTCCAGCTAAAAAAAGCTGACTCTGGGGGCAGACACCTAGACAGGTCTGTAACAAAATAAAAATCAAAGCCCACATTTTTGAGCCACTACTAAATGCCAGGCACCAGGCTTGGCACTGTGTGTGGACTTCTCTTGTTTTATTGCTCACAAAGCTTTAAGTGAAATAATGTTTACTATCAGCATGTTACAGAAGAGGAAACTCGGTTTGGAAAAGTAACTGCCCAGAACTAGAAAGAGAGGCAAGAGTCAAACTCTAGGTCTATCTGATTCTAAAACCGTATTGGTAGCCACCCCATGGACAGGAAGTTGGCTTCCTACCCAAACCAGGCCACCCGCTCACTCTGCGCCTGTATGTGGCCGGAAAATCTGTCACCCACGGGGAGGACTGCCATGACCAGTTGGAGAGGAGAGGGAATGTGGGAGAAAGCTCCTCTAGGTTCTAGAAGATGCCATCACTGCCCAATCTTCACGACCACTGCCAGCCCATACCCTCTTCTCTTCAATAAAAGTTAGGATTGTTTTCCCAAGGAGGGGAGGTGACATTGTAACAGACTCTTTGCTCAAGTCTCTCCCAAACAAAGACATTTCCTAAGTGGGAACCCCCCCAAGCCCCGAAGCTCCAGAGCACGGAGTTTCGTGCCATTCCCATCCTGGCTGCGCCTTGCCTCATCAGGAGACGGGAGGGGGTCTATGCTGTAGACACAGAGGTAAGGAGACCACCCTCAGAATCACTGGAAGCCCAAGCATTCACCTCGCCTGCATTGTCCCTACCCCTGGCTCGTCACCAGCCGGGGGACACTTAGCCTGAGTTACCGGGGGCTCCGACGTCACAGTCTCAGCAGGTGGTCACTGTCCTGCAGACCCACAAGCTGCTGAGAGCCATTCTCCAGAAACCAGCCACAGCTTTGCCCCCAGACTACCACCCCACCCCCAGAAGTCAGCTGTCACCTGCTAAAGGTCACCCTGCCTTTTTCCTCCTTCCTGCTCCTTCTCTTTCCTCTCTCCCACCCCTCCTTCCCGTTTTTCCACTTTCTGCCTAATGTCCGGTTTCCTCCCTTGCTCTCAAATGTCTTCTTTACCTCCGAGCTCCTGCCTTTCCCAGCCTTCCCCCATCCCCACTCCCAATGCCCACAGAAGACGTGGTGACCTCACTCGGCTGGCAGATGTGGGGTGTCCGAGAAAAGCCAACCTTTCAGAGCAGGCCCACTCAGGGTACAGATGGAACATTTAAATAAGGCTTGCTTACTCAGTGAGTAAATGGAAGCTTGTGCTTGGGACCCCAGCAAAGCAGGGTGCGAAAATACGAATTTGGGTAAATATTTACATATGGAATGTTTTTTAAAGCATCGGAAGAGTTACCATAGGAAAAATGAGAACTTTGTCAGACCGCCTCAGACCTTATTTTACAGCTCTGTCTTTCCTGTTTAAATCACAAATTGGAAGGACAGGCGGGATGGGTGCCGAGGGCGCCTCACGCCTTCAGACAAGCCTGCCAGGACTCCAGAGAGGCGGGGAGCCTGGGGAAGCAGGTGCTGGGCCTAGGGCAGTGTCTGTTACCTTTTCCATGCGCTCAATCAGCCTGTCCAGCTCTCCGATCCTCCGGTCCTTCTCCTCCAGGCTCATCTCCGCCGCTTCCATCTTTTCATTGGCTTCCTCAATTGCTTTCAGAAAACTCTTGGTTTCTTCCTGCAAAAGAAGCGCACTGTTCTCAGCACAGCCTTGGAGACCGGAGGCTGCTGACTAGGGTCCAAACAGCACCAGCCTGGCTGAATCATGGTGTCTCTCTAGAAGCACACCCTGGGGGCCTAGGCGTGTCATGAACTCGTCTCCTGAACTCCTGTGATTCTGGTTCTCACCTGGAAAGAAAGAAATACTGTGTGGCTTTTTAATGGGCCCAGTTCTTTTTTCTCCTTTCTCCCCCTGACTCCTTATATCTTAAAAAACAAGCCTGCAAATGTTATTTCTCCCTTGACTGGACGCTCGAATTGTCTGTGTATTTGCCAACAGCATAAAGGGCAGTAGGGCCATATCTGGAATTGAATGCAGACTGCTAGACCCTTCCCACATATTGCAAAGTACCAACTCGGTCATCCACCCAGCCCACGTATAGAGCTTTGAGAACACAAGATAAGGCAGCCACGGCTCCCTGCCTTCAAGGAACTTACACTCGTTCCTAGGGAAGCCAGGATGTGAGGTGTACAGTCCAAGGCTAGTAACGGGAACAAGAGAAGGCCACAGTAAAGAGCAGAAAGAATGTGGGCTTCCCAAACACAGAGGACACTTCTCATGAATGGGAAAGACTTGGTGCATGGCGGGGGAGGGGATAGCATTTTCAAGGCTTTGCAGGAGCTCAGGGAGGAGTGAGGGCAGGGAAGGAGGGCATCTCAGGGAAAGAGGAGCCAATGGAGGGAGAAAGGGCATAGCTGCATGGAAGCCCAGACCCGCTGGAGAGTCTAGCCAGAGAAAGGGGGTGTTCAAGGCAAGGAAAGGGATGCAGAGAGGGAGGAAGAAGTGGGGGAGGGAAGGAGCCAGTGAATGAACACCTTGACCCTCTCCCACGTTAGCGTCCGCTGACTCCCCTCCAGGCAGAAACCCTGTTACTGCAGCCCCCCCAATGATGACAGACGGAGCATTCTCCGTTCCTTGGTCGGTCGGCGGCTAGGACCTACACACCAGGAGAGCCTCCTTCTCGGCGCTGTGCTTCCGCTGCTCCTCCTGCAGCTTCTCCTCGTACTGGCTGTACAGCTTCTTGGTCATCTCTCTCATCACCTCGGCGTTGGCTTGCTGAGAGGATTCCACCTGCAAAGACGCGCCCATCAGAGCTCTGGCTTTTGCCGACCCCGGGGAGCTGTCCCCTCTCGCCAGGTGAGCAAGGTGGACACGCAGCAGGGAACCCGGGATGCTGCTGCGGGAGACAGAAGCAGCGGGAGTGCAGGGGAGAGGGACAGCGGGAAGAGGGACAGCGGATGGGTAGGAAAAGACAAGGCAGTACTTCACACGGTGGTTTCAGGACAAAGACCTTCCACGTGAGCAAATTTTTCAAAAGACAAATGTAGCTAAGTGTCAGCCCTGTCCCCTCAATTTAGCCACTTTTAAATTGAATTCTCTTAGGGCGTTCCTGGCTGTCGCAGTCGATTAAGTGTCTGACTCAGTTTTGTCTCAGGTCATGATACCAAGGTCGTGACATCAAGCCCCATGTCCAACTCGGTGCTGGGCATAGAGCCTGCTTAAGATTCTCTCTCTCTCTTTCTCTCTCGCCCTGTCCCTCTCCCTGTTAAAAAAAAAAAAAAAAAAAAAAAGTGAATTCTCTCTAAAACGTGTCCACACTTCACTATCTTCTTAATCCCTTTCTTCAAGGACTTTTCTGGCCTAATGTCTTTTGATCCTGAAGTTTTATTATCTTTTATTTTATCAATTTTAATAAACCTTTATCTCTGGATAAAATCTCCATACCCTAATTAACCTCAAAAGATGTGCTTTTCAAATTCTGGAGTGTTCTGTTGTGGGCTGGAAAAAAGATCACTACGTTATTAGAATTGGGTCTGAGTAGAATAAGCAATAAAATTTAAAATGTTAAAAAGGTTACCTATTGAAGGAAACACTAAGAGACTAAAGGGAATATTACAGATACAGATATTATATTTCTGAATATACTGTTTTGTAAATTTGACTCTGAGTTAAGTAAATCGTTTATCTGTTACAAAAAAAAATAATAAATTTCAAGAAATTACCTACCAAGACCATTCAATGGGAAAAGAAGACTCTGAGAAACAAACTGAGGGTTTTGGAGGGGAGGGAGGTGGGGGTTGGGTGAGCCTGGTGGTGGGTATTAAGGAGGGCACATATTGTCTGGGGTACTGGGTGTGGTGCATAAACAATGAATTTTGGAACACTGTAAGAAAAATTAAATAATTTTAAAAACAGTACAGAGATAAATGGATAGCTACATGCAAAAGAGTGATATTAGACACCTAACACACCATATCCAAAAATTAAGCCAAAATGGATCAAAGGTTTAAGTGTAAAAGCCAAAAGGGTAAAAGCCAAAGCTATAAAAGTCCTCCAAGTAAACATAAGGTAAATTTTTGTGACCTTTGGTGAGGCGATGGTTTCTCAGATACGATACCGAAAGTGCACGTAACAAAAGACACATAGACTTCATCAATACTCAATATTAAAACTTCTGTGTTTAAAGGATACCATCAAGAAAGTGAAAAACCCAGCGAGTGGGAGAAAAGATCTGCAAATCGCCTATCTGATAACTTGGGTCCAGAACACATAAAGAATTTTTACCACTCAATAACAAAATATCCAATTTTAAAAATGGGCCAAGTTTCTTACAGAGATCTTTGGGAAGATACACAAATGACCTAGAAGCACAAGAAATCTGGGCAATGTCATTCATTGTCGGAGAGCGCAAAGCCACCGGGAGATACCTCCTCACTCTCCTGCATGGCCGTCAGCAGTGAAGCAGGGACAAATGTTGGTGAGGAGGATGGGGGACATCAGAAATCTCACACAGTTGGGGGAACTGTAAAATGGTGCAGGCATATTTCTAGATTAGCTTCCTACTGTTTGGCTTTATTTTTCCCCTGCCATGTGCATACATTATTTTAAAATTTTGTTACGTCAGAGAAACAGGGAGGCCTTTGAAGTTAGGTTGCCCACATGGATTTGAAGCTGTCCCATTAAATACACTGGCCAAGGAGTATCCAAGAAAGACTGATGCTCAACTCATATAAGAAATCTGAAGTCAGCCTTGCCATACATTCGTGCCTTCCTAAGTACTGCATCTAGAAACGCTCCCGCCTGGTCTGGGGAACACTCAGGCAGGGACTCCTAGTGCCGTTCAGGCCCAGCTCAGGAGAAAAGAAAAAGTCAGCAGTACTTTTTGGCTTTTTCAGCAATTCACCCCTTTTTTTCAAACTCTTATTCAGACATGTGGTATATGAAATCATAAAGAGAAGAGCTGCCCTGTTTGAAGTAAAGCAAAGACCACATCTGGTCAGGGTGGTTGTGTCTGGCCAGTGGGACCATGCAGACACACACCCAGGGGGTGACAATCACATGATGACACAGTGTAATGTGGCAACCCCTCCCCCCATGTGAGATAGCCCCACATGGAGGGGGACTGCATGTCACAGTTTGTCTCCCTAACCCATTCCTTTTTTTAAAAAAAGATTTATTTATTTGGGGAAGGGAGCGTGTGAGCAGGGGAAGGGCAGGCAGAGGGAGACGCAGCCTCCCCACTAAGCACAGACCCCCAATGCAGGGCTCGATCCCACAACCCTGAGATCATGACCAGAGCTAAAACCAAGAGTCAGATGCTCAACCAACTCAGCCACCCACGTGCACCCCCCAACTCAATTCTCAATAGCACCACCCTCCAGTCACAAAAGTGTCCTGGTTTGAGCAATCCATTATATGGGTCCACCACTCATGAGGAACTCTCCTCTAGGACTGCCTAATGCTGTGCTGAACACGACTGGAAAGCCACAGACTTAAGTATGAACAAATTGATTCAGGAAATAATTTACTGAGTGCCTTCTAGGCACCATCCATGAGTCTGCTCCTACCAGCGGGTACGAGATCAATCCATGCTTCCCATCTAGAAGAGGCCCGAACACCTCCGAGGCAGGAGAAGCCCCGCCGAGGAACAGGCACAGGCTGGTGGACAAGAGGGACACTGCCCAGAGTCCTTGGTCACCCACGGATGTTCTTCCTGTGTGCTCTCAGATTCTTTCCTCTCACACCACCCAGAAAGACCTTGAGACGTCACAGAAAATCTAAACTGTGAAGCTTCTGGAGTCCCAGGCCTGTGGACACCCCCAGGGTGTGATCGCAGCGCCATGATGACGGTCTCAGCAGCCCTTGAGACTGGGGCTGGGGCAGGAGTGCCCGCTGGGGGTGTTCACGGGGAACCCCAACCTGGACTGACAGCAGCGAACACACAAACCTCCTTGGTGCCCTCCAGCCCAGCCCTGTGGGGTTGGCCACAAAAACACGGACAACGCCAGCAAGGCAAACAGGGGAAAGGAGATGGAATTCCCGAAGATAGGAGGAGAGAGGAAAACAGGGAATGAGGAGGCAGCCGACGGGGACGTCGGCGCTCTGCTTTACCTTCATTTTCAGCAGCTGGTTTTCTACCTGCGCCACCTCCAACTGCCTCTGCTTTTCCCGTAGCTGGCCCACGGAGGCTTCATAGGTCTGCCGCAAGTCTCTCATTTGATCCTTAATGTTGCTATTTTCCAAAGTAACATCCACCAGGGTTTTCTAGGGATGTGAAAAGAAATCAAAACCAGAGCCAGTGATGTGAGTAAATGTGGCCAGAGTCAGGCACTGGGACATCCCTTTGGCATTAACCATTGAGGGAGAGGTCAGGCCCCGGCAGCTGCAAGCCGGGGACACTGGGGTCTGAGGGGCTGCGGGTCCCCCCACGGTGGTCAAGATGTCTGCAGCTCTGTGGCTGGGTGGCCAGCGAGCCTCTGCCCACCCACCCCGCCACTGCTCAGGATGGATGGAAATGGACTAAAATGGAGTCTTTCCAAGGAACAGTGTTCCTAAGGCATCATTTCACATTAAAAAAAAAAAAATGGGTTTTGAAAATAGTAAGGATAGAACAAATCCCATTTTAAGACGGCAAATGTATAAACATTTGTTCAAATGCATTTATGCAGAGAAAATTTGGTTAAAGACTAGGCTGAATTTCACCAAAATCCAAATACTAGGTTACCGGTAGGTGGTAGGCGTAGGGGGGGATATTTATTTCCTTCTCTGTGTTTTCTGTCGCTTTCAGATTCCCACAACAAAATAAAAAAACAAACGCATTTTGGAGAACGGAGGTGTTGCCTTTTCTCCTTACAGGGGCTGTCACCGCTGTTTGTGGATTGCCTGTCCAAAGGCTGAGGTGCTGGTGACGCCCGGCGAGTTTGCCACCTTCCCCCCTTAGAGAAGGGTGATGACAAAGGAGCACCAGGGAGCAGGGTTTGAGGACTCAGACCAGGGCCTGACAAGCATCAAAAGCCTGCAGATTTTTGCTCCCGGCCACCCACTGGAGCAAGAGCGATTGGATTCACACTGGTGTTAGTTAACACTTTGGGTTCCACTTGGTGAACTCCTCATACAGAGAATGGTCTCCATAACCCGGAATTCTTACCACTGGGGACTGGGTTATGGGCACCACCTCCCACCTCCCCAAGTCGTGTTCAACTTTCAGGTAGACAGGGAAACTGGGGTTGGACCCATTTTTTAATATGTTTGTTCTCTTTGCAGATGATCAGTCCCTGGAGCTTTTTCAAGTCCTTAGCCTCCCCTTTGGATAAAATGCCTCTCATTCTCCTTGAATCAGGAGAAAGGATTTTTGATGGAGTGATATTAAAAGAAACACAGAAGCCATTTGGAAGCAGAGGATCAGAAAATAATTTGAGCTGCAAGGGGTTTAGAAACCACCTGGCCCAACCACCCCTCTCCAAGCCCCCCGGGCTTTACAGGTCCAGCTCTCATGCTCATGAGCCTACATCTGGACCCAGAGACCAGGGTTCTAATCCTGGCTCGGCTACTAACTAGACACCTTGTTCAAGGCATCTCTCTCTGCTGGCCTTGGCTTGTTCATCCATAAAACAAGGGGACTGGAAATCATCTCAGCAGCTCCTTCCCATTCTGACATTCTGTGAAATCAAACCAGGGGTCTGGTCTCATGGTCAAGAATAATGAAAATAGGCCAGTCTGACCAATGAAAGAGGTCAGAGCCTTGCAGAAATAAGAACACAACTATCTTCAGACTCACTTGAATTTCCTGGCTGTGAATAGGGTGCCTTTCTTTTCTCCTTTTTCTCCTTCTCTTTCTGCTGCTTCTTTTTAACGATAATTTTTAATCTTTTCGTGATAAAGCTCCTTGGTCTGCCCCCAGCCAAGAGGTTGGACCATAACTAAGAACCAGTCAGGGTACCTGGGTCAAAGCTGACCCTGTTCTAACAGCTGACCTCATGGCCTGGGGCACCAGCAGATGGCAGAGCGGAAGTACAATGGGGAAGAAAAACCAGAAAATCAGAACCTATACCAACCAGGTCTGAACTCAGTTGAGGTGCAGCATCGCCCGATTGGCCAGGAGTGGGAAGATGCCCAAGAGAGAAGGAAAGGGAGCCTCGCCAACCCCCCCTGATGGCAGGAGGAAGGGAAAGCCAAAGCTACTGAATAAACCAGACCCAGGGCAGGGCCACACCTGAGGCCGGGATAACGGGCACACACCAAGAAGGACCAGGAAAAGGGTGAGGCTCCAAGCCCCCACTGGAAATGGCCTCCCAGACAAATCGGAACACGACGCCCACCTGGGCCCACTGCTGCACCCAGCTCTAGAGTTGGAGCTACTGCTGTAACAGCTGGTGATCCCAACATGAAATCTGTTTATCTGATAAGTTATTTATATAGAACCAGGAAGGACAGTAATGGCCGTGGGACCTTTAAGAGGGGAGTAGAAAGATAAGAGTCAAATGAACTTAGAGGAGAAGTAGAAACTATCATTTGCATATCTGGAGACTAAAGCCAAGGGATGCGGTTTCTGGTGAACGTAACACTGTGTCCTGAACGCTTTCAGGTTAATTTGCATAGAGACACAGGACTGGGGTGGAAGGGTAACAGGGTGGCATGGGCCTGGTGAGCTCCCAGCAAATCAGATGACTCATGAGAGCAATTCTCCGGGATTGACCACACACATCTGGAGGATCCTGAGTCTTCTGCGTCCCTGTCGGCTACTCTAGGACATCCTCTGGCATGCATAGGATTTCTTTTCTTGTGAAATAATTTCTAAATTAGGCAAACGTGCTTAACAGCCTTTGGGAGCTCCTCGCCACGCCTGACCACAGACTGTCTGTGATTAAGTCTGTCTCTCCTGTGTCTCGGTGGAACTTCCTAAACAGGGGCTGCAAGGGGCGGTGATGGGCTGTTTTAGGCACTGACACTTAAGACCCCCTCGGGTGCCTGCTGGAGAAGGGGATGCCTCTAGCAAAAAGCTCAGGATGGAAACTCCCATTTTAACAAAGGCGAAAACAAATAAAACTCAAAGGGTTAGAGCCCCTGCTTGGAAGCACTTCCTTTCACTTCCTTCACCAGCGTCCTGGCGGGGTCTCTACCGTGGCCATGCTTGAAGGATCCTGCATGATGGCCCGAAGACACCCCACGACTTGCTTTTCTCCAAAGGCGCAGGGTCCACACCTGGTTAGATGTGCTTGCCCCACCCAGAGGGCACCCAGGCTGACCGTGAGCGGACAAGTACCTGCAGGCCGATGGAGTCCGACGTTAAGGCCGAGTTCGTGGCATTAAAACTGTCCAGGGCTGACGACTGTGTCTGGATGTGATTCTTGAGATACTCCTGCTGAGCCTGGGAAGCCTGGACGGATGATGAGGTAGTTACACAAAACCACTTACACCCACAACAAGCTTCGGTTAGACTAGAACCTTCTCCTGATAGTCCAAGTAGAGCTTAAGGTTACAAAGCCCGCATCTGCATGGCCCAGAGGGGGAAAGACAAGACACTGTTCCTTCACGCCTTCCCCTGTGGGGCCTCGCTAGGTCCTCACGACACATGCGGCAGCCAGAACTCCCTCCCTTTATATGAAGGAAACCGAGTCTGAGTTCAGGGATTCGCGCCCCAGCGGCTGAGAACAGGCACAGCTGGACCTGGAACGAAGCTGCCACACCTTCTCCCGCCATCTTGCCCTTTCTAGTCACCACAGAGAGAGCACACGTGGGGCTCATGCGCTTCTCAAGCACGTTATGGGGCTGCCGCTGTGTGGTCTTTGTAGGGCGTGTGTTCCGCACATTTGACGCGGTTTCATCCAAGAGTTCCAGCAGCCTCAAGCCAGAGCTTCAAGAGGGTGGGGGGGGGGGCGCTCTACCGCTGTAGGAGGCAGGGGGAGTAGGGGTGAGGGTTCGGGGCCCGGTCAAGGCTGGACGCCCGTGGGGTCTGTGGACCCACAGGAGGCCACCAGCAATGATGGAGCAGGCGGTGCCCTGTGTGCAAGGGAGCCTGAGTGGGAAGAGTAGGCCTGGCCTTGGGGGCAGGCCGGCGGCATGTTCTTGCTCAGGGGCGAGCTCACCGAGCAGGGACTTTGCAGCCGTCATCTGGCTGCAGAAGGCAGGCTGGCCTGCAGCTGGAGGGCACTGTGGCAGACGGACAGTTCCTGCCACCATTCTCGCATGGGAAAATGGGGGTGTGTGGGAGATGGGGATGGAAAGGGGGGCACAGACTCGCTTGTGCATCTGCTGCAACGCCAACCACTGGCTTTAATTATGGCTGTTGGTGTGTGTCCGTGGATGGCAGAGTGAATTTCCATAAGTTGGTGAGGACTCCCGAGACGGCTCCCAGCAGGTCAGGGAGAACGGGCCGGGCTGGGCGGCTCTGTTTATACGCCCCCACCCCTATAATCAGGGCCATGGCTCTTACTTAAGCAGATCATCTCCCAGCCAAGCCACTGCCTAAACTTGACTGTTGCAACCGTGCTTCCTTCCTACAGATGTTTACCTTTCTGGAAAGTGTGTCATATATACATGGACTTTTTTCTTCACCATTATGAATCATAAGTATAAAAAATTTTTTTTTTTCTCACAGGATTTAGCTTGTTTAAACCAGCGGAATGTTATTTTTTCTTAAACTCCAAAATAGTACCTTCAAGTAGTTCAAACATTTACCAAATATAAAAGGGAGACACCAAAATCAATCAACCACTCCTGTCCCCTCCACTCAGGTACCACCACGCCTGCTCTGCCCCTCAACTAAGAATCTTGGTTAATTAGCTTCTTGATTATCCTTCTAGTAACTGCTTTCATATCCATAGAACTAGCTAAACATACTTATTTTCCCTTCCTGTTTTACATAAGTGGTAGCTCACTGTACATAATTCCCTGTATCTTGCTTTTTTTTTTTTTTTACCATCTACTCTATATCTTTGAGATCTTTCAGTATCTCTTTCTGAGCTCCTCTTTTTTAAATTCTGCATATTCTCTTGCAGAGTAGTAATTTAGCTTACTTTCCCCTTCTTGATGGATATTTAGGTTTCCGGTCTTGTTTCTGTCGCAAACAATGTGATAACTAAGCTCACACCTCTGTCATTTCACACATGAGAGTTTATAGAATACATTCTTCAGAACAGAATTGCTAAGTCACAGGGTAGAGACCTAAGTAATTTTGTAGATACTGCCAAGTTGCTCATCCTCAGAGTGATTCAAAATCATATCCTGTCCATCAATCGGCCTGTTCCTCCACAGCACTGCTAGTACAGTGTCCTGTCCACCCCCACAGGGATGCCAGGCTCATGGATAAAAATTACTATAAGTTATCTATAACAAATATTTTGCCTATTTTTGAGTTGTGGCCTTTTTTTCTTGATGTCTGTGCACTCTTTAAGTACTCGGAAAATTAGCCTGTTACCTATGATGTGAAGGACAAGTCATTTGGGCTGGGTTTGCCATTGGACTTTGGTGTTTTTGCCAGCACACATCTTTCATTTCAGTTTAGTCAAAGTTATGAAACTTTTCTTTTGTAGTTTGAGATGTCGTGTCAAGAGTAACAAAGAGCCTTCTCCATCCCAAGAGTATAAAAGAACTCACACACCTTTTCTCCCGGCGCTTTTAAATTTCACCTTCAGCATTTAAGATTTTGATCTCTTTGGAATTCATCCAGATATAAGCCTTTCATGACATCACATAAGATGTCCCCACAGTGTATAATGACTGGCCCATTTTCCTCCCTTTAGGTTGCTACATTTATCACATACTGACATACATCTCTGGGCTTTTTTCATGGATGCTTATTTATTTACGTGCCAATATGATACGGTCTTAATCTCTGAAGCTCTCTCAATTTCTTGTAATATTAATAGAGCTAGTCTTCTTCATTGCATTTCTCTCCAGAATTTCCTCAACTCTTCATATTTATCTTCTGTCTACTTTGGGATCATCCAGTCCAGTTGCAAAAACAACATAAAATAAAAATCTGTTGGAATTTTTATGGAGTTACAGCACATTCCTACATTAACCTGAATAGTACTGATGGCTTACGATTTTGGCTCTTCCTGTCTAAGCACATGGCATGTCTTTCCTCTTGGTCAGTTTACTCCTAAATATTTGGTAGTTTTCTGTTGCTCTTATTTCTTCTTACCAGTTGTTTTTTGTATACTGAAATCTATTTGCCCATACCTATTAATTTTTTTACCCTCCTACCTTACAAAATTTTTTTACAGTAGTTTTTTTTCATTGGTTCACTTGTGCTTTCTGGGTATATAATCACGCAGTTTGCAAATAGTGGCAGTTTTACGTCTACCTGTCTGACTTTTATACCTCTAAATTAATTTCTTTTGTTCAATTCCATTGGCTAGTCTCTCAGGTACAATGTTAAGTAGTAGTGATGACGGCTGGTTTCCTTGTCTTGTTCCTGACTGTGGAGGGAATGCTTTTAATGTAAAGATCATTCTTGCCACAAAAATATCCCTTTAAATAATAAACTTAATTCCATGAAAACATTCCCTGAGTTCATTTAAAATAGGATTCCACTCGCAAACATCATCATAAACTCAAATATATTCAGGTAGCAGACCCTCACAAGGAGTGCTAAGCTCTACCACCCCTCCATGTTTCCAAGTCACTGAGATCGTCACTTACTGACAATTCCTGGGTGAGCTGTCGAATCTTCTGTCTCATTTCATCATAGTCTCCATACATTCGCTTCCTTACTTCTTCCAAAGTGGCTCTCACCTGCAGATGAGATGCTATTAGAGATCAAGCTATAACATTTTCATGTGAAATATGTTGAAACCTTAATGACAGGAAGGCCCCCCCTAAAAAAACAAAAACAAACAAACAAAAAAACAATTTTAAGAACATGACAGTTTAGGAGATTAAGGGATAAAATCACTCCTAATATCTAGTTAGAAGTCAAGGGAATTATCCAAATAATATCAGTAATAATACATATGCACTATGATTGTATATGATTATAATTATTAATAAAGGTTAATTATCCAAATAAGAACCTCTGAAGAAGGTTTGTTGAAATTCACCTATCACCTATCCAAACACATTCAGGCAAGATTTACCCCTTTTCCTACCATGCATTCTTAGAAGTAGAAAATTTTTAACCAATTGACTCTATAAACAGCTGGCTAGGAGAACCAAAAAACCAAAACCAAAAAGCCCTCTAATTTTCCCTGTGTCATCTCTGACTACCAAAGAGCAATGAAGTGTCTGGAATACACAGCAGGGAAGTATGAGCCCAGAGAGACCATAAATTTGAACATTAGTTCCTCAACAATCACCAATAATACACAAGACACAAAATATAACAAGGGTCAGGGTGATTCCCCTAAACATCTGTACAACCACTGACGAAGTTTCTCTACAGTAGCACTTTAGAAGGATTAACAGGTCCTTAAAAATTTTATAAATAGGGCACCTGGGTGGCTCAGTGGGTTAAGCCTCTGCCTTCAGCGCAGGTCATGATCTCAGGGTCCTGGGATCAAGTCCCACATCGGGTGCTCTGCTCAGAAAGGAGCCTGCTTCCCCCTCTCTCTCTCTCTGCCTGCCTCTCTGCCTACTTGTGATCTCTCTCTCTGTCAAATAAATAATTAAAATCTTTTTTAAAAAATTTATAAATAAAAACAAAAAACCTTGACCCCATCTCCTCCCTTCTTCTGCTGCCCCTCTGGTTGGTGGAGAGCTCAGGGGTCCTCAAATAGAAACAAAGTCTCCAGGCAGCCCCCTGCAGAGAGCTCCAGCGCTTCCCCGCAGGAAGGGCTCGAAGACAGCAGTTGGTGGGGATGAGGGGTGTGTAGGGGACAGCACAGGGGGACTCTCACCTTGAAGCTGTATTTGCATAGCTGGCACATGGTTTAAATCAGACTGCATGTTTACTAGGGCTGACTGTGTACTGGAGAGTTCAGCAGCTGGGTGCAGTCAAGGTGCCGCGCCTTCCCTAAATGAATTCTGATGACAGAGTCTACTTTCGTGCTGTTACCTACAAACATCTTGGGAAAACGTGCTGTTACCTACAAACACAACTCTGCACTCTGGGCAGACGGAATGGCTTTCACTGTGGCCCCAAGCTGGCGCTCATACTGCTCATCCATGGGCCGGCTCTCTGGCTGGGCGGCAAATACTGCAGGAAGCCAGCCAGGCCAGAGTCACCCACATCAAGTAAACACAATCATAACATGCTTAGGAATAAGCAGGCCAGGGATGGACTTAGAGGAAGCTCTAGAAGGTGGGACCTTAATTAATTTTAAGTTGCAGGTCCCAGTGGAAGCTAATAATGCAGGTCAGAACCACCCTGTGTCCTAGACACACGTCATCCCTGGTTCACGACCAGCCTCCACCTGCTGTTTTTGTCTTGGGCAATTGGCGACTCTCAGCTCTGCCTCAAAGGCCTACCTGTGAAGCAGTGCCATACTGTCTGAGGTATACGAGAAGGGACTAAGTATTTCCATGAGAAAAATAGGGAGACTAGGATATTCAAGTTGCTTCTAATATAGGAAAATCCAGAATGAGACACTCAAAGATTGAAAGTTCTACCTGAGGAGTATGTATGATGACTGGGGATTTGAGGCTGGTGGTTGTCGCAGTTGTCCTATGCATTTGTGTGGATAACTTTTTTGGCTTTTCTTCATTTTCTAAGTATTTATTATTATTATTACGTATAATCGACTTTTTTATTCCTTTTAATTATATAAGTATCCAAATCTTACAAGACACATGAAAGAAGGTGACCAAAACACTTATTATTTTTAATACTTAATAAGAGATGTTCTTTTAAAAAATCCACACAAGAGCTGACAACATGACTTTGTGTCTTATCTGTAAACACACCATATAAAAAGCTGGCAGTTTTGACTTCAGGGGTCCCCTCCCAACCTTCACAATCTAGATAGGAAAAAACTTAAGCCCGGAGAGAACAAAAGTTTGGCTGGTCCAAACACAGAGGTAGACATTGAACTGAGGCCCGGGGGGTTACTCTACTGTCCCACACTGCTCTGCTTCTCATGAGAACTTTCTAGTCCACTAGACTCGGTGCTCAGGGCCCATCACTCTCAGAGAAACTCATTTCCTCTCCATCTAATCACACTGATGTGGCCAAGAAAGGCACTAGGAGGCCGAAGAACCAAAAAGGAATGGAGATGGATAGATGGATGGATGGATGGACGGACAGATGGACAGATGGAGAGACAGATGAAAAGAAATAAAAAATTTAGAAGGAAACGTTCCTTAATAACTACTCTGGTTAAATGGTGGAATTATAGATGGTTTTGTTTTCTTCTATATTATACACTATTATATTTTCCAAATTTCTTTGAAAAAAGTATATAATTTAAAAATTAAGAAATGTAGTATCAAACACAAAGAAATGACATTGATTGGCCCGAGATGGACAGTGTCTACTGTGGTTGACTTCTCAGCATCTGTTTCAACACAACTGATTGGTCTGAACCAGCCATAATCAATCCCATTCCCCTCGCCAGGGGACCCATCCAGGGTGGATTGGGAATGGGCCTGTGACCCAATCCTGGCCAATGAGACATAAGGAGAAGCCTAATAGAGGGCCTCTAAAAAGAAAACAGAGGTGAGTGGCCTCTCTTCTTCCTCCAGACACCATGATATTTTCAGGTGATGCCATGAGCCTGAGGCTGAAGGCTAGAACCAAGGGAAACTCAGACAAGGAAGATTAGAGCCTGGACGTGCCCTGGTAAGAACCCACCTACCCCTACACTTATCCCCACATGAGACAGATTTCCTTTCTGAGATGGCATCTCTGTTCCTTACAGCCCAGAGCAACCAAATGCATACAGTTTCCAAAACTCATATGCCAGGAATGGAACGTCCAACATAATAAACAAAAAATCACTTAAAAGCCTCCATCTCATACACAGAAGAAGGGAGTCACCTGGTCTCCTGAGCATTCCTACTAAGTCACTCCAGCAGTTCACGCTAGACCTCGCTGCACAATTACATCTGTACCTTAAACACTACCGTGAAGATATGCAGAAATGTTTCCATCCAAAATGGTAATGCTAGGAATTCTTCCAAAAGGCCTTATCACATTCACGGCAATGCTTCCTACTCCGCCATCTTGCATGCTACAAAAGGAGTATGGACAAAACAAACAAACATCCTTAAACGACTCACGTCTCTGATGTAGTTCATCTCTTCTTTCAGCTGGTTGGTGGACCACCCGTACACCACCATTTCCTTCTGCTCATTTGGATCTGATCTCCGCACCACGCCGTAGACGACACCCTGAGGAAGTTTCCTGGTGGGCTCCCCATTGCTTAGGTCAGGCTGCTTCAAGAAGGGAGAAGAGAGGAAAGAAGAATGACAGTTTAGGCCTCATGGGAGCAGCTGTGACAAAGGGTGCGCTGTGTATGCCATGCAGGCTGTGTGGGCAACCAAGGAGCCAGGCGGCAAGGAGAGGCTGTCAGAGACCCAGCCCACTCTCCCTTCTCCCGCTTGCACCTGGAGGAAGGGCATCTTTCTCAAATTTCTACTGAAGCCCTATCCACCCACCTAAGAGTCCATCTGCGGGCCCCACTGTCCCAGACAGGTGCCCTTCTCATTCTCATGAAGATGCCAGATGGACCTGTGTTGTCCCTCATGATAAGAGCAAGGGTCTGCACTCTCACACTCCCAGTATCCTGGTAATGCTTCCCCCCCACCCCACCCCATATCAGCTCCTTTGGATGCCTTCCACCTCAGACCTCATCGTTGAATATGTCCCTTGAAATGCATGAGGTTGAGATACTGGGGGAAGAATGTTGGCTGCCCTCTGGGCTATGACCATTCATGAAGTAGTTCTGAAAAGCCAGGGATAGAAGCAGCATAGCTTCTCTCCAGAAGAATCTTCCTGCACCTTAATTCCTTCACCCAAAGTTTTGATCCGTGTTGAAAGGCAAACACTCCTGGGAAGGGGTACCATGTCCTGACACACCTTTACAGAATGAAGGCTCAAGAAACCAGAAAAGAGGGCAGTTAAGATTTGTTCGGCTTCTACCATAAGCCAGATACGTCCCTTAGCACGTTGAATCTTTACGACTGCTCTGTGACAGAGCGATGGTCCTCTGCACTTGACAGCTGAGGAAACCCAAGTTCAGAGACGTTAAATAGCTTGCTTCCAGCCACACATCTAGATTCAAGGCCAACTTTCTTGACACCAAGTATGCTGCAGGCTTTGATAGGTGCAGGAGGACAGAGTAAGAGCCCCCATGAGGGAGAAGGAAGGGCAGGGCAAAACCAGGGACTGAGATGTCACAGACAAACCAACCTATGTCCAGTATTCCCTGGGGCTGACCCTGGTACCTTGACAATCACAGTACAGAAGCCTGAATTCCATAATGGCAACTCTGTTCTCCCACTAATTTTTTTTAAAGATTTTATTTACTTATTTACTTACTTACTTATTATTTATTTTTTTTTTTTTATTGAACATGAGCAGGGGGAAGGGTGGAGGGAGGAGAGATTCTCAGACTCTGTGCAGAGCTCGACTCAGGGCTCGATTCCACAGCCCTGAGATCACAACCTGAACCAAAATCAAAGGTCGGATGCTTAACCGACTGAGCCCCCCAGGTGCCCGTCCCACCAATCTTTAAACCACCTTTGCGTAAATTCCTTCCATGCACTCGCAAAATATTTTTGGCATACAAAACTGTAATTTACATTTTAAAAATCATTTATTTGTGGCAGAATAAAAACTTTATAATCCCATTCATTTAAAGTTTGTCAAAGAAAAGTCTAAAAAGACACATGACAAATTATTAATAGTAATAACCTCTAAGGAGGGGACAGTGGGGGGGGGTACTGGGTATCAGAATATCTTTCAATTCTTTCTTTATACCCGTTTGTATTGCTTATCTGTCTAGGTTGGGAGCTTTAAAAACAAAAACAAAACACCTAGAAAACAAAATATCCATTGCTTCTTACCCTTCTGTACATATTTGGCAAAAGATGGGATACGAGGGATTGTGACACTGAATTTGCTTCCAGAAAATGATTCCACTGGAGTCCATGGTGCAGGGGTCCCACAGGCACTACTGCAACTCTTGAAATCTGTACATAAATTTAGGTGAAGAGGCTGTTCCATGGCTCTTGGTGGAGTGACAAGCTGGGATTCCAGGCCCCGGTTTCCCAGACACAGAATTAGGAAGAGGAAAAGCTGTAAAGAAAATCCCGGCAGACCAGGCAACAAAAGCAGGCTCTTTCAGTCAGACTCCACCCAGTTCCTGAAAAACAAGCTGATGAGGACCGGGGGCCTCGGTGAAAGGCGTTTCTGGCTTTCAGGAAGACGCTCAGGTGGCCGCATCCAGAGGACTCTGCCCTCCCGCCCGGTGGAGGGACAGGGACCACCACCCGTGGAGGAAAACACACACAAGGTCACAACAAGGTCTGTGAAAGTGATGTCTCCAACAGTTACACAAATGCAAAGACATCGAAGATCTGTGAAGTGGAAAACAGTCATTTCTGGGTTCTTGGATTTTTTTTTTTTTTAAATGTATGTTTGTGTGTAGAAAATATCTAGAAGGATGGAATCCAGACTTTTAAAGCCAGTGGGCTCTGTTAAAACGGGATTTCACTTTTTTCCCGCTTATGCTTCTGTGGGTTAGATTTTTAACCAGAAAAAAAAAAGGTGGGGGGGACGTCATTTTTTAATGAATAACTTATATTTCAATTTTCAAAAAACTAAAACTAAAAAATTCTTACCAAGCCAGGGACTAAATAAAGAGCCCAGAGAAGGGCCCAGCCCAGGACTCTGCTCAGGAGCAGGGCCATCCTCATGGGACACTCCACATAGAGAGGGTTCCCAAGGCAGTGTGACAGGGAAACAGAGGGGAGGCTGATGAAGAGCGAGCAGGGGACAAGTATTTGTCTGTTTTATTGTGCAGCATCTTCTCTCATCCTCACAGTAACCCGACCACATAAATATTATTAGTTCTTCCAAGGTGGCGACATTCAAGTGCCTGAGGACATCTCCCCAAATCTAAGCTCTTCCCTTTGACCACGAAATCTTCAAATTAGCTAAGAGTCAGGAGTGAAACTGAATCTCACGTCTCCATGGGGCAGCTCAGACCTCAGGGACAGGGCAGCCGAGAGCCGCGGCCCCAGTCCTGTCAGGGCCACCAGGAAGAGGCAGGCTCAGCACAGGCAGGCTCCCGTCCAGCCTCCTGGGCTCCATCTTTCCCTCAGACCCTCACCCCCAACCTCCTTTCTGTCCTTTATCAGTCAGCCTCCTTCTTGTCACAGGGCACTACACGGGCCATTCCCTCTGTGTGCAGTGCCCATGGCTGGGCCTAAATGTCTCCCCCTCGAGGACGTCCTCACTCACCCTTCAGACTGGTTAGGTCTCTGCACCCTCATAACCACAACGGGGCATTAGTGTCATCATACCCAGAAGGCTTGTCTATTCGCTGGGCCTTGTGGTCTTCTTTTCTACTATAATCCCTGACACCTAACAGTGACAGACTCTTGGTGACTTTCTCAATAAATATTTGCTGAATGAAGAGGGCGCTTTAGAAGTTGGAAGAAATTCTGGGGACTTTTCCAGATGATGTCAATATGGCCCAGCCAGAGGGAACATCCTCTGCTTTTCTTAGAGGGAGGGACAGGGAACTGATTTTGCCCCGGTCATAAAATTCCTATCAGAGCAGTGGCAAAGGAGCCCGAGACTGGAATCGTTCTGACAAAATGTCTGCATGTTGTAGGACACGGAAAAAAGAAAAAATGGAAAAAAGAGCTGCCATGCCTAGCACTGTGTCTGTGGCTGCGTAGTTTTCCTCGCAGGTCCTTTAAAATATCTCCCTATAAGATAAATATTAGTTTTTTAGGCATGATAACAGCACTGGGATTGTATTAAGAGATAGCCTTTATCTTTCAGAGAAACATGCTTAAATATTTATGATATCTGGGATACGGGCAGAGGAAACGGATGAGAGTGCAGACAGGGCAGGACTGAGCCTGGGTTGAGAGCTCTGGGGCTGGGTGAAGGGTCAGTGATTCGGCACCCCATTCGGTCTCCTCCTGTATACGTTTGAAATTCTCTGTAATTAAAAGTTGTTTTTTGTTTTTTTTTTTAAACTTCTTTCTAATGTTGCTTGGTTGGTATTAAAGTATCAAATTCTTAAAAATATAGTTGGCCTATGAAAAGCCTCCCGGGCATGAGACAATACTAGGCAAAACTGCTTTGAAAACCAACGCCCTAACAAAGGCACAAAATGAAAAGAGAGTTGGCGCCAAAGACGGGAAAAACTACCATCTGACCGAAATGCATCCGTGACCCCCATGTGAGATGCAGCGTAATTAAAAACAGGCGGAATCAGAGAAACATACAGAGAATCTCTCAGTTAAACTGTTCCCTGGGATGTGCTCATAGCCGAAAATTTACCGATAGGCTCATCTACCAGAGATGAATGTACCGGAAAGTGCCTTCGAAAGGAGGAGAAACTACAGAAAAGTAACGCCACCTACGTTCCTACTGCAAGGGCTTTAGGGCTGCTGAAAGAGCCAGACCATATTTCCCAAACCCTAACTCCAAATAAAGGATTTCCCATGAGATAAGCTCCATAATTCAGGGACCAGAGCTGCCACATTCACCATTTTATTCCCAATACTTGACATAAAGAGATGCTTAATAAGTATGTTTCGAAAGAGGACAGAAGACAGAATATTGGAAATTGGGTCTATGCCAGAAGATCTGGAGCATCTGGTCATCCAAAACACTCATCTGTGCAAAGGAAGAAAATCCTTTGGTCAAGAAGTGTTCTCAGGGAAGAAATACCTTCAGACACACACAGTTTAACATAAATTCAAACCAATAGTGGTAGCCCGCCCCAGGCAGCCCCTAGCCCCAGAGGCCAGGATGGGCAGCTGGTCTCCTGTCCAGGCTGCCAATGCGACTTAGATGGACGATGACATGAACTAAATCACATGCAAACTGGAAGCCAAGTTACCTCCAAAACCTTTTGCTTTGACCCACTTCTTCCAGCCAGAGGGCAGCAGCTGACCCAGGGACGGCTGAGCGGAGCCAGGGGTGTCGTAGCTACCCACCTTGCAGGCAGAGGACGGCACTGTCAGAAATGTGCTCTGACCTGTCTGACCTGTGTGTCCATCCTAGCAAATGAGGAGGGGCCTCTGGGTGGCTCAGTTGTCAGGTGTCTGCCTTTGGCTCAGGTCATGATCCCAGGGTCCTGGGATTGAGCCCCGCATCGGGCTCTCTGCTCGGCGGGAAGCCTTCTCCCTCTCCCACTCCTCCTGCTTCTGTTTCCCCTCTCACTGTGTCTCTGTGTCAAATAAATAAA